CCTGAGAGGGGGATGTGTGGCTGGAGTCGCCACCGCGTCCTGTTCCCGCAGGACTGCCTGGGCTCAGAAAGTCCTCCGCTGGAGTCAAATTGTGGTAGAGTGTCAGTTTCTCTCACTCACCTCACCACAAGTCAGTGCACGCCTCCCTACCCGTCCTGTTTTCGACTCCGTTCGCAGATTCCCGTTCTCAGAGCTTCCGCGTGTCTCTCTCCTTGCCAAGCCGATGTAGAGGCAGCCAGCCGCTGCGCGGCGGGAAACCCAAATCACGGCTTCCAATGGCGTGGGCTCCAGCCTCAACACTAAGGCTTTTCTGTTCCTGTTTTAGCACCAGGACTGCATTCCAAGTTGGTTTCTCTCAGCCCAGTTGGTTCCTGAGTCAGCAGAGCATATCTCTACCTGCTTATGTCTCCTTACTCCACACCCTTCCTGACTTCTGAGCGGAGCCTTGCAGAGAGCCTCCGTAGTAGCTGTTATCTGTCCGCCATGTTCTCCCGGAAGTCACTTTGACTTGATCTTGATCAAGAGACCAAGGCCTGGCAAATGTTTTTTAACACTCCTATTTTGTTTCACTTGAGGCAGTGTCACCCACTATTTTGTCCAGGCTAGTCTGGAACTTTTAGGCTCATACAACCCTGCTGCCTCCTGCCTCAGCCTACTGAGTAGCAGGGAGTACAGGCATGTACAACATGCCCAGCTGAAGTTTTTTGACCAGATAGTTTGTCACTATATGGTTGAGCTGATGTTTTGAAGAAGTATATATTCACCACATGATTAGAAGATCATTACTAAAACTATGAACGCTCGGTAAATTTTACATGGTATACAGTCTAGGAGATTACTAGTGGTGGCAGGGTATGAAGGACCTCTTTGAAAAACACATTAAAGGAGAACAGAGCTCCAGAGATCTGGCCATGGAGGGACTCAGGCAGCTTATTGCCCCGCCCTCTTGGTAAGCGTCTGCAACATGGGCCAGGAGGAGAACAGAGCTCCAGAGATCCAGCCATGGAGGGACTCAGGCAGCTTATTCACCCGCTCTCTTGGTAAGCACCTGCACTTGGGTCTGGAGAAGAACATTACCTGTGAGCCTACTGCCACGCGAGCTGAAAATCAAAGCACCCTTCTCCCACTTGCCCCTTGCCCCCTTAGCTAGTGGGGATAGATATTTCAACATCTCTTGTGAGGATGACCATATGCAGAATAGCAAATATGGGGGATTTCCTTCTATCTTCTGTTTGAAGGCATAGGTTGTTTTCACTGTTTTGTTATGTTTCTTTTGCTCTATTCAGTATTCTCAATTGGTTTTACAATGTTCTATTTTTGGTTTGATTTTTACAATACATAATTGACTGGACAGCTATTGTTAAGTTAAAGAGATATAGCATAGTACTTATTACTACTATCCCAGTATCCTACTGTGAAATCTTGTACCAATTTACTGCATTGTCTCAATTGGCTTTGTTCTGTCTTGTGCTGTTGCATTCTTACTACTTTCAAAATTAAAAAAAAAAGAAATACATGTTAAGACTCATGCATGTGTAGAATCTATAAACAGTTTATGAGAACTGATCTTATGACAATTGATGAAATGAACAGATACTTTGAAGGAGACACTAAAATACCCAGTGCTGATCCTGGAGTGTCATAATGTGAAACCCAGCAATAGTGTTATTCTTTGTTCAGAGTGATATTAACCTGCTTGGGTTTATTCAAAGTAAACATAATTGAAGATATGGGTAACTGCATATATGTTTACGTGTAAAGGATTGATATTCATATTTCTAAGTTTCTGTTGGATAGTTGAACAGAACTGGTTGCAATCTCACTGTTTAAATCCCCACTTTATATGCTCCACTTTAGTATCTTGAATAACTATTTGTAAGAAGACAATCTATAATCATCAACTAGTGATTTCTTACAATTTATTTTTTCTTTGAAATTATGCATTATTTCTACCTGTTTTCTGTTTTTTTTAGTCTTTCTTTAAATTCAGTTTTAAAAAGAAGACACTACAGTACTCAGTGCTGATCACGGAGTGTCATGATGTGAAATCCAGCAATACTATTATTTTTTGTTCAGAATAATTTTAACCTGCTTTCATTTGTTTAATCTAAACATAAATGAAGATATGGATAACTGCATGTATGTTTATGTGTATAGGATTGATAACAATGTTACTAAGTTTTTGTTGGACAGTTGATTAGAACATTTGCAGTCTCTGTTTGAATTCCCACTTTACATGTTCCATTTTTGTACCTTGAACAACTATTTGTAAAACGATAACATAAAAAAAATAGAAAAACACATTAAATATATACTAAAATGACAGCAGGAATTAATACCATAATTGGTTATTAAAGAAAGCAGGGTAAGAACAAGACTGTCACACATTTAGACAGGTGTCCTTTAGGGTTTACTTTCACTAATATTAAAACGTCAGCCATATCCTCTGCTTTCTAGAACTCCTGCAGCTGACAATCCAGATAAACGAGGGAGTCCAGATAACCAACACACTGAAACCGAGTGTCCTGAAAGTTGAAGAGAAAAAGAATGCACCAAGAGAATTTCAAACTATAGAAGAAAACAGAATCACAATCTCATTTGAAATTCAGGCAACTGTGCAGATATTTTCTTTTCAGACTTACCAAAATTCCAGCACTGTGATAGTTCCTACTATCTGCAGAAAATGAAATACTGAAGAATATCTGAGACCAGTGTAAGTCAGCCAATGAACACAAGCTCTAAATAGTGTGCAATAAAGTTTAAATGAAAGCCTTCTTAGGATAAGAGTAAAAGGGTATTATTAGGCCAGGTATGGCGGCACATTCTTGTAATCCCAATATCTAGGAAGCTGAAACAGGAGGATCTCTCCATGAGCTCGAGGCCAGCTTGGGCTACAGTGTGAGTCTGAGGCTACCCTGAACTACACAGCGAGATCCTGTCTCACAAATGCAGAAGGAAGGATTCTCAGCTGAGTAACACAAGAGTTACAGGGATTAGGCTTACTCTACACTATTGACATCTCTAGTTGAATAATTCCATCATGGGAGGCTGCCCTACCCATTGCTCGGTATTTGGCAGGATTCCTGGCCTCTGCAGCCAAGACTGTAACAGCACTCCTATCATTTGTAGTTGTATCAAAACTTGTTTGCAAAGACTGCCAAATGTCCCCTAGGGGCAAAATCACACACCACTGCTTTGAATGAAACAAACAACAAACAGCTGTCAGACTTAACTCACCCTCTTGATAAATAACACTTCCAAGCCACCTCACCTTCTGAATAGCAAACAGAAATAACAGGAGGATTTGTAGGGAAAATGACATGCTCCATTTTGGTTATGCCAGAATGTAAGGTACTAAATGGAGATGTCCAAAATGCAGTTGGCTACATGAAAGTGCAACTATGAAAAGAGTGTTCTAGCTCAAGAAATAGACCAGAAAAGCATTGGCTGCATTAGTACCTTTAGAAAGGCTTTTGCAAATTTTTAGCCAACATGAAATCCTCTTAAGAGATGATGATGATGATGATGATGATGATGATGATGATGATGATGATGCTACAAAAGCTCTACATCATGCCTAATTAAACAAAAAGCCCGATGGATTTAATCTACTACAGGGTAATATACTGCTGCATAGTTTTTACCTTCATCTGGACAAACTTGCCACATGGTAGGATCTTCAGAGTAAATGCTCACACATCTTTACTAATTGATATGTTGTAATAATTTTCCCATTTTGCATTATGCTCCCTCTTTTGACTCTTTGTTCCCAAATCCACTGTCCTATATTCTATCTGTTCTGAACAGATGCTTGTTCTCTTCTGCTGCAAATATATAATTACTAAGAGCAAATCTAATTCTCAAAATTACATGCACATGAGTTTTCCAAAATTATCATTACAGAAATTCTGTGCTAAAATGCTCAGACTACAATCTGATTTACTTTTTCTGTTCAAAAGAAACCTCTCTAACAATCTTAATACACCTCAGTTCAAGAGCATATTCTCCTGAAAGTCTGTTTAGGATTGAAAAACTTTGCTTAAATGCAATTCTCTAAGAAATCACAAGACACATTTCTACACATGTGTAAGTTCACTTGTGAAAAACTTACTCAAAATGTTCTTATGAGAAGTTGCATTTTATGTAAAATATAGTGGTGAAGAAACAATTTTCCTAACTTAAGACATATAATCTGGTTAACAAAACACAAAGTAAAATCAATCTTAACAGTAAATAGGAATACTTTGAATATATTATAGTTAAATTGGTTTTCTTGTGCATGTTCTTTAATTTTGTTAACCTAAACTTTTTAATAAACGAAGTTCAAAGTTTGTTTTAGAATAGTCACTTAGAATACCAGTCAATTCATAGAATTTTCATCCAGCTCACTTTCATAGTTACATCATACCAACACACTGGCACTCAGTAAGGATGAGTATAAATAAAGGATAGCAAAATCTCCTTTCAGAGATAATTAAATGTGATAGAGAGAACATAAATCCACATGTCTTCCAGAAAGCAAAATTGTTTAGCATTTCTCTGATCACAAACTAAATATTTAATAAGCAGATTTTAGAACCCACCTTTCATTACATAAACCTTATTTTAAAAATGTATGCTTATATCTGAATTAACTATCACTAAAATATCTGCTTTAATTAATGTGACCTTTAAACTAAACTTATAAAATCAGATGCAACTTTTTTTTTTTTTTTTTTGGTCTTTTTCCTTTTTATCGGTACCGGGGATTGAACTCATGACTGCCTGCTTTCAAGGCAGGCGCTTATGCGGCTGAGCCAAACCCCCAGTCCCCAGATGTAACTTTTATTGAAGGAAAGTACTATCCTCTCCCTCAAAGTCCCACCCACATAAGAAAATGCAAATTATGTTCAATTTACTGTGTGTTCTCCAACAAATAGTTTCACTTAACATTACAACATAGCTAAAGAAACAAAACGTGGAAAAGTATTGAAGTATGTTTAAAAATTGTTCTTTCTTACCAATCCATTGCTGTAGAATCCATGAAGAGTTTAAGGCACGAGCAGAGAGCATCTTTTCAACAGCTGGTGGAAGTCTCTTCCAATTAGTAAACTCCAAAGTGAAGATAAGGGTGTCCTCACTGACTGAATCAATCCTACATTAGCAAGATGTTAACATGTCATCAGACACAAAATATAAGGGCTCATTCTGGAAACAAATACCATAATACTTATAACATCCTAATGAAGAAGGCAGAGAAAGAGCAGGCACAATAAATAGTCATGTAACTGAAGACAAGTTAGATAGAATATAGCTTGGTCATCTTTACAGATGCAAATTCAATAGTTACGAAAGAATAAAGCCAAAGCACACCAAGTTATGGTAAAAGGAATGTATGACAGAGGGCATGTTTCTGCCCAACTTCCAGGGACATATAGCAGTTCTCTAAGAACATTCCTCACTATGGATTCAACCCTAAAGGATGTAGCAGAACAAGATTTGTCTTTAAGGATTAAATGAAGGGATACCATACAAACAGCTCTGCCTCTATTCTTTCAAAATAATGATCAGATTCCCTATAACCCACCCAAAAAAGCATCCCAAATTTTGTAAGCGCTGGAAGCCTAACAGAAAGACCACTGGTTTAAGGAAAATCCTGATTTTAATGTGACATCTAACACTTAAAAACATGTTGTCTAGATTCTTAAGTCCTAGTTCCGGCTCAATTTATGAGCAGGAAATTCAAGAAACTATTTATAAAACTAATAAAGTACAAGAAACATACTTTTTAAACTATAAAGTATTTATAGTATTTGACATTACTAGACCTGATATAAAACTTTCAGGTCTCATATATAATACAAGTAAAATGTATTCAAACTTTAAAGAGAATTCTAATTCCTAACAAGATCACTCATTTTGAGCTCAATTTCAAACCTTCTACCATCACACTTTTTGAAGCAAAATAAAATTAGTAGGACCTCTGGTAATTACTAGAAAAATTCCTGATAAGGTCAGTTCTTTAGAGACTGTGCTAAACAACTGAATAAGGAAAAGAAAGTAAATGATACTCTAAATATATCATATCAAACACAACTTCTTTTGGGTAATTTGAAGCATCCCTAAAATGACTAGAGTGTATGACAATTATTTCCCAAATTCTTTATTCTCTGACATACAAACATATAAGGAAGAAATGTAGCCTTAAAATGTAGACTTGGAAAGCATTTTGCTTCTCACTGTGCTTTCAGTGAAATCACAACTTACCAAGAAATACTCAAAGTAAGTGAAATGATAAAATACAGTTAAAGGCAAACAATCTCCTTGATATTCTATTCCATACCAAAGGTCACTTGGTTCTGGTTTCTAGTTTCTTTTTTAAAGGTTTCTGTTTTCTGCCTTATCATGCTATATGTCTTATTGTGACCCAACACTAAGTCATTTCTTATACACTTATCTGAACATACATGAGAAACAAATCTGTTTCCACAGTTTTAAAGTAAGTTTATCCTAATAACACTGACAATGCTACTAAAATGTGTTACTATTTTGTTCTATTTTGCCCATTACACTGTGCAGAGCAGTTGTACAATCAAGAGTAATAGTTAACCAAACAATGTGCAGATGATATATGCTTTCAATTATTCTCCTGTTTTATTCCAGGAGGTAGAAGGGGACTTAGTCTTGCATCTAAAGTTGAAAAGTATTCCAGTTTAATAGATTATATTGTGACACGCAGTTATTCAGCCATATATATTTTTAAGACTGGCTAAAACAAGTAATATCTACGGAAGATGTTTATAACTTATATGACACATTAAACAGCAGACTTACATGCAACATAAATAAGGCACAACCAAAATCTACTTTAGCAACATAGTGAAATTATTACAGAAAATTTTTCTTATGACAGCTCTCTAAATGTAAAATTCATCAAAGAAAGCAAAACATGCATCATATTCACAGGAAACACTGGCTTTATCCATTCAAAAAAAGATCAGTGAACACCACGTTAAACATCTTCTGAAGTGAAATTTTCCACTATATTTTTTCCTAAGAAATATAAAATGACTAAGTTCTTCCTTAGTAATAAAATACACACAAAATTGGAACTCTAGATTTAGAGAGCTGGAAGTTTTAAAACTTACTTTAGAATAATTTGTAATTTATTGGTTCTTAACTATTTCTTACAACACATCCAGGAGCTTACTGCCACAAAAATCCACAACTATTTACACTTAAGTAGCAGGCTGCATCAGCAATGGGAGAAGGAGCATATTTTATAGAAGCCTTCTAAAACAATAAAGCTAAACAAGTTTCTCTCCTTAAAGGCAGTCTATTAGTTGGCTGGAGAGGGAAAAAAAAGACGCAATGTTTAATTCATTCCTCCTATATAAGTTTTTCCTAATTTAGGAGAAAAAAAAACAATAGAAGTTCGCACAAATCCTCCCAAGTTTGGAACAAATTTAGGTACTTAAGTGACACAACTACACCATCCCTATGGACACATAAAGCAGCTTAGCATAGTAGGTAGTTAAGAACACAGACTTGAGCCACATTACAGGGCAGCCTGAGTTGCTATCTAGCACTACAGTAACTTGCGCTGAGAACTTGGGCAAATATGTTGAATATCTGGCCACAAATTCCTTCTCTGTAAAATAGGGTAAAATTGGACCGACATTATTTTATAGTGAGTTTGTATCAGTAAAGAACTTAAAAATAGTTCTTACTAGTAGTGTCAGACAGAAAGGATCAAGGAAATTGAAAGGATCCTGGGCAGGTCATGCGGAGCCAGGTAACAGGGTCAGGAGAGAATGTGGCGCATGCTGAGAATGCGGGTGCCAGGGGCAGTGGCAAGGAGCAAGCGCTCAGAGGTCCTCAAGACTTTGCATTTACGGACTCCTCCTTGTGGGTCCTTTATTTTGTGAAGATCTGTATTTGGCAGCATCCCCGCATCTTCTCTTTTTATTGTGTCTGCCATTGGATGGAATTCAAGAACTTTCACCCAGCAGGCTTATGCTTTGGACAGTCACTGCTTCCTGATACTGTCACACACACCCTCTCCCAACACACAGATCTCAAGAAATTGGGGTGATTCAAGGCAGTACAGTCACTCAAAAAGGGTAATAAAGCCTCTTAGGGTAGGATTTCTTACCAAGAACTGCACAGTAGTGTCAATGGGTCAAATCCAGCAAGCAGAAGATGAGGCAGCCATTCCTTGTATTTCACTTGTGCTTTAACTGCATGATTTATAAATTCAGTTACGTGGCTCCAGGGTGCTAACGGGCAACCTTTCTTCAAAAAGTAGCGAAATACTGAAAATTTCTCATGCTTCAGACAATATGCCAAATGAAGTTCATTTAGCTGGGCACCGTACTTCAAAAGGATATTCACAATTCCAAGGAACTCAGAACTGCAACGCAAAAAAAGTTTTTTTTTTTTTTTGAGAAATGGAAAGGGAAGTAGTTAGAAGCAGACTGTAAAAGCAGTTTCATCTGGGTAATGAGGACATGGGAGGGCTTTTATGTGTATTGCAAAATGAGATGAGACAACACAGAAGGGAAATTGTACTTTTTAAAACCCTGTGCCCTGTCTATAATTTTTAACTGAGCAAGTACTATTCTTACAATAGAAAGAAGTGGTCTTAAATGTATTGTTAAAAATTGTCAATGAAAAAGTCTCTCAATTGTAATGTGTTTGTAAATATCTCTACTACAACATATTTTCCAAAGTTAATCAACATGACCAATCCCTAAAATTCATTCTGAGAACCTTCAAACTATTATTTGTTAGAACAGCCTTAGTCAATTTACCTCTTACTTTTCAAATTGCGAATGGAAAAAAAATAGAAAGAGAAAAAAGGTTTTAATGAACAAAGTTTTTACTTAAAGCTCTATATTTAAAATTAATCCTCCTTATCAAGTACTTTTATAGACTAAACACGTCATTTTATATGTTAAACTGGTTACTATTTCTCTATTTATGTATGTATGTATGTATGTATGTATGTATGTATGTCTTTTTGATACACAGTCTCACTGTGCAGTTCAGGCTACCCTGGGCTCACTTTGTACTTGCACTGATCCTCCTACCTCAGCCTCCCAAGCACTGGGATTACAGGAATGCACCACCACACCCAGCCTTTTTCTCTATTTTAAGGGAACATTTATTTGGGGAAAAAAGGTTTCATAGTCTCTTCTTTTTTGGGGGAAGGGGATTGAGACAGGGTCTCACTATGTAGTCTAGGCTGATTTTGAACTCACTCTGTAGCCAAAACTGGCCTCAAACTCCAAGTGATTGATCCTCCTGCCTCAGCCTCCTGGGTGCTGGGATTACAGGCATGCACCACCACACCTGGCTCATATCAGCTTCTAAATCCCTTAGACAGCCACATAAAAATTTCTCCTTTCCACCTGATGCTCTTATAATTACATCTGTGAATGTGCATCCTTTTCTAATATGTAATTGAGTTTCATTTTTATTTTTACTTTCATCAATACATACGGGCTTGGAAATAGGGAGAAAAGAAACGAATGTAAAGAAAATTAGTTACTTTTCCAAAAAACTTTTTATCATGCAATACTGGTAGGTTATGACTGAAAGCAGGTACAAGTCTTATTTGAAAAAGCTATTTGGCATCAAAACAGTATTACTACAAGTGTCTGCAGTTAGTCCCTGAGCTGAAAACTGATGAAGTCACCTGACCTTTGTGGTACACAGAAATGGCACTCTGAGGGGCTGGGGGTTTAGCTCAGCAGCATAAGCGCCTGCTTTGAAAGCAGGCAGTCGTGAGTTCGATCCCTGGTACCAATAAAAAGGAAAAAGACCAAAAAAAAAAAAAAAGAAAGAAAGAAAGAAATGGCACTCTTTAAGTATTTGTAAAATAAATTTTAAGTAAAACAGCACATAAATTAAAGCAAAACAATAAATAAGTACTTTGGTTTAGGTAAAAACATTTATATAAATAAGTATACTTAGGTAAATAAATGTCAAAATTTAAGTAAGCAATAAAATATTTAGACTTCTATTTATTCAGGAATGTAATTCTTGGAAATTTATCCAAGACATAAAATTCAAACATTATTAACAATCTGCACAAATATGTTTAACTACAGTATCATCTATAGCAGACCTTAAAAAAGAAATGACCTAAACATTCAACAATAGAAAAACAGGTCTAAGTATGACATATTATGCAGTCATAAAAAATAGCCATTATGCCGGGGATCTAGCTCAGTGCAGAGTATCTGCTTGGCAAGTGTAAGGTTCTGAGTTCAATTCTTGGTACAAAAAGAAAAACTGCCATTATTATGATTGTGTAATTGTATTTTTTAAAATCCTATTCTTTTAAGTATAAAAGGATCAGTGAATATTTATGTCCACTATGTAGACAACTGTGAGATGATTTGCAAGAATAAAATTAATCTCCCCTTGAAATTGACATTAACTCTATTTTAAAGTTATAAATTTTTAAATTTCATTATTCACAATATTACATAATCTCAATAATTAGCCAGCACAAAAATTTTACAAAAGTAAATAAAATGTTTAAACTCTAGTCATGTGAGACTAACTTCTGTGGAAAATGAATATATAAAACTTTAAATCAAGGCTTTAAGCAGTTAAGACAAGATAAGTAAGTAAGAAAAATGTCTTCCAACTCAAGAATTTCATCATAAGTCTATTTCATTTATTCTTTAATCTGTGCTTGCTAAGGTCAGTTGAAGGACTGCACACTAGGCCAAATGGGATGGTGCATGCCTATAATTCCAGCACTCAGGAGACTGAGGCAAGAAGATCTCCTGAGTTCAAGGCCAATGTGGGCTACTTAGTGAGATCTGGGCCATCCTGAACTATGTAGCAAAATCTGTCTTGAAAGAGGAGGAGGAAAGGGAGACAGAAATATAGAAATGAAAATGTGAATTAATTGACAAAAGATAGATAAAAACAAAAGTTTAAACAGTACTTTCCTGTTAATCATTTATACAGTTACCAGAAATCTACAAGTCTATAATTTCTGTGTAAAAATTAATACCTTTAGTTTCCCTAATTTTATTCATTCTTCCTGATGAGGCCACCCATATTATTGTTCTTGAAAACAACCACGTGCCCCTGCACTTTTTCCCGATTGCTTTGAGATACACTGAGCATTTTTGTCTGCATTCTTGCCCTACCAAAAATAACAAAGCATACCCTTGTGACTAACGAGTCCTAACAGTCACCACCAATTTGTCTCAACTACTTGCACTTCATTTAACTAAGCTCTCACTATTTTGCCTATAGTTACAATTTGCTGATTCTGCTTACAGAAAAGACAGACTGTTGAACATGTTCCACTTAAATTTGAAGGGAAAGTATGGGAAAAGCTCAGACCCTGGCTTATTCCACATACGATATACAAGTCTCAGGACGCCTGGCAACATTTCGGTCATATGTGTTAAATGAGCAACTCAGTGACTGGTTGAATTCTTCCTACAAGCATCTGAAACCATCAACAGCCTAATCTAGATACTTCAGGTCTTAGAGATTCAGGCCAGAGAACATATTTTTGCTACAGAATTCGAGTTATGTTATCTACTAAAAGCACCTGATTAAATGGTAAACCTAAGGCACCCTTGACATTTTCTGTTCAGAAAAAACTACAAAACAAGAGACTTTCTTACTAAAAAATTTCAACACAGTACTTTGACATGTGGTTCAATCTAAGAAAATTTTAAGGGCAAGGCCAAAAGATAAACTGTGCATCTCCAAACTGTGAGAGGGACATGCACACATGTGTTCCTTTAATAACAAACCTTATTGTTTGGTATTCAGGTACTGCATCAAATGTATCACAAACAAGATTTGTCTTAATCCTACAGGTTTCTTTCTTTCTTTTTTTTTTTTTTAATCTTTTTGAGACAAAGATTTTTTACTATACAATTCAAGCTGGTCTTGAACTTACTTTGTAGCCCAGGCTGGCATCAAACTTCCAGCAATCCACCTGCTTCAGCCTCCCAGAATGCTGGGATTACAGGCATATACCACCATGTCCAGCCAATCCTAAAGTTTAAAATTTAATTATCTCCATTCTAGGTATAAAAACTGATGCTTAGTCATAAAGTCAGTAACTGGTAGAACAGGGACGATACAAACATCAAACTAGAATCTAACAGTGAATACGACAGCCAATTTCTGAAATAACTCTTGCATAACTATTACGAAAACTGAACAGTTAGTGAAATAGTTAAATTGAGGACTTTTTTCAGCTCTGAGTACTGAACCCACAACAGCCTTTACAGTTACATCCCTTCCACATGCTTTGTTTTGTCTTTTGTTTTGCTTAAGGTCTTAAGTTGAGCAGGTTAGACTCAAATTTGTGATTCTCCTGCTCAGCCTTCCAGAGTGCTGCAATTACAGGTGTGTGTCACTATGATTACTAAACCGAGGGCTACTGCAAGATTAGACCTATGGTTCCCAAGGTGTACTACATGGAAGCTTAGTGCCTATGAAGCAGTCACAGGAAAAGATTCTCTAATGGAAAAACTGGAGAAACTACACACAGCCTAGGAAAAGGAAAACAAACAGGGTGGCCTTATTTTTAAGCAGTACATTAAAGACATTTTCAAATTATATACTCAATATTTTTGTCAATCTCCAGACACTTTTCCAAAGTAAAATTAAAGCAACAGGGCCAATCATCAACTTGGAGAAAGAATAATGAGTGTAAAATGACTTAAAGTCTATTAACACAGGAACAATGGCTACTATTAATGTAAGTTTATCTTACATTGAAAAATTTTCAAATCTCTGTAGATCCTTTCCCCTCTTAGGAACTCATAAAGCACACTGTCAACCAGAAAACTTCTCAGAAGCCCTCCAAGAAAAAAACAATTTAACGTTTCTTAATACTCAATCCCAGAATTGCTTATATCCCATGTGCATTTATTAGCAATGTATATAATATTCCACAAAGCATACTTTGGAAACCAGCACAAAACTTCTTCCAATTACTGTTCACCTACTGCCTTGTATGAGAAGGGGCAAAGAATACTCTCAAAACCCTGAAGAGACTGATCAGTGCTACACTATACATGCTCTTCCAACAAAATCACCACTTACAAGGAAAGTGTGGCAGAAACTAGAACATCACAGAACTCTGTCAGCATGCTCTGAGCTGCTAGGAACTTAAGAGGATCCCAAGTATAATATACTTCAGGTTACCTAGCATACAGAAAATTCTCATACAGAAAATAAATACATAAAAATTTACTTATGAATTTATGAGAAAGGTACTGGGACTCAAACTTGGGATCTTGTGCTTGCTAGACAGGCACTCATGCCACTAAGCTATATCCCCAGGCCCTAGATTACTTTTATTTAAAATATCAATTACATGGACATATCTATGCATTTCTCTTAACATTTCAACAA